TCAATGAACACATCTTTATTAAAAGCCAAAACTGACTAAAATAAGTGTTTTTATTTACACATGTCATGTCACTATAGATCCTATCTTCCTTACCGAACTGACAGCCTGGAGGGTTTTTTTTTTCAAATGTCTCATCCAAGTTTCTCAAGGTTGGTTTGTTCTTTTTGTTTAACGGCATGTCAACACCTTATGGGTCATTTAATTTTCTTGGGAGCTTTGGTATAATAAATATATGATATATGTTATTCTGCTTTCACAATTTAATACATGGTAGATGATACTCAGATTTTGTGCATATACATACTTGTGAGGAGATAATTACTAGAGGCGCGGATATGTGTGTTTGATGCTGTAGTGTCTCCGAAGTTATATTTTGGAATACAGTTTGACTTCTTTAAGAAATTATATGATACTATATGGATTAATGTCATAAAAGAGTTTTTCATGTTGCTTATTATGGGGTTAGTTCGTTGATTTCGTTTAGTGGCATATTAATCCCCATGGGTTATTTAATGCTGAAATCTCAATATTTTGAAACCAAAATTTTATGGCTTCAGCTATATATAAAATACTTTGAACGCAATTGTATGCCTTTAACTACAGATAAAATGTATTGTCAGTAATTCTACAATAAAATGTATTACTTGTCGTTTTGCTATTGTTAATGTATAGTTATTTTTACAATAAAAATGTATTTTTATACTTTCATAGTGTTTTGCGTTTGTTTTTTGGGTTCGCTACTGACCCATAGCTGGGACCCTAACAGGTGCTACCACACCGGGGCAGGGTGGACCTGGGGACAACAGCAATTAAGAGGCGTTTCCGCACTCCTCAAAACCTCCAATCTCCCGATCAGAGGACTTGCTGCTGGATGGAGTACATCGTCATACCCAGGACTGAGTTTCTCAAGGTAGAGACATCCGCTACCAAAGTATATTTCAGTGTTTAATGTAAGATTTTTTTTTATTCATTAACTCCTTTAAAACAACTTTGTTCGCAGTTCGTGTAAGAAAATAATGTTAACTCATACATACGGGGATTTTCTCAACGTAACTTAGATTTGACACAAGGTCGAAAATATGGTGTACACAGTGAGGATCGAACTCACTATTCAGTCGTAATTCATCTAGCGGGATATGTTAACACATACATATGTGCCTGGGGTCCTCGACGTGAGGTAATTGTTAGCAAACTTGTTTCACTAGATCAATTACGACTAAATAGTGTGTTCGGCCCTCACGGGGTGCCCCGTCTAAAAATGCGCTTAGAAAACCAAAATGCGCCCCCAGGTGATGTAATGGTTAGCATGCTTGTCTCGTTAGGACAATTACGACTGATTAGTCAGTTCGTTCCTCACTGGGTGCCTCATATTTTTATCCCGTTACTTAAAATCCGAAAACTAAAAACGAATAACTTGTAAAATATCACCATGCTAAATGCAAACATATATATATATATATATAGCTATTGATTCACTGTATTTGTTCCATCTCAGGTCAGCGGACAGTTTGGGACTGAGCAGACGCAAAGAGGTACTCTCGTGGAGTTGAGCATCAGACATTCTAATGGGAGGCAGTGATGATTCTCTGTGGTGGGTAATTGAGAGTAATTTTGGTTTTGAGGCATTAAAGTTAACCAGCCATTTCCTGCCCCAGTAATAAATAATCAATAATAAATAATGACGAAGATGTTTTAAAATATCACACTATAAAATAGTCACAAATAATCGCATTCAGATTCACAATTGCTTACACTCATTAGCATTATTAATTTTAAATATAAACATTACCCAATAATCGCTAGGTTACCATATACATCCAATGAGCAATGAGTCTATTAGACTTTGAGTTGAAAGTAATGGTAAATGCACTACTGACCAGCAGATATAAATAGTTGAGACAACACACAATACACATGGTCTGAGGATTGCCTTCAAGATAGTTTTGCTGCACGGTGCTGACTGAAGTGCCTACTTAATTTTTAATACACACTCACACGCGCGCGTGCACGTACACACACATACACACAGATATATATATATATATATACGTATGCATGTAGGTATATAGAGTGAATGTGTGTGGGTGGGTGTGTGCGTGGATATAGAAATCGAAAAAGTCCGAAGTAGTGTTGATTTCTGTCCTCACTTTATATCCACAAACGATCTAGTTCAGATATTGAATACTCTTGCCCAGTAAATAAAGCAAATTTCAAATAATGTGACTATATATATATATATATATATATATATATATATATATAATGTGACTATGAATATCCGTACCTGGCAACATCACTAATGTATTTACTGCTGCATTTTATATATATATATATATATATATATATATATATATATATATATATATATATATGCATGTCTATACATGTGTGTATAGATATATTGCTATATATGTGTGTGTGCGCATATGTGTGTGTGTGTGTGTGTGTGTGTGTGTGTGTGTGTCAGTGTGTGTGTGTAAAATATGATAAAGAACACATAGGAAACGTTTAGAATTTTAATACATTTCGCTTTAATGTAATCTTCATCAGAAAATGAAAAATGAAGAAAGAAAGAAAATTCTGGTATTTTTCTTTTTTATGTTGTTAGTTTTAATTTTCTTTTCTCCGCCATATTTCATTTTCTAATGAACCTTAAATTGAAGTGAAACATCTAAAATTCATAAATGTTTCCTATTTGTTCTCATCCTATCATTCTGTCGGATTCCATATCCAATCTATATTTGATCACAATTCATACACACACACACACACACACACACACACACACACATATATATATATATATATATATATATATATATATATATATATATATATAAATATAAAGAAAACAGTAAGATATATAATCCGGTATTCTTATAGATATTTTTATTTTTACAAAATAGTGCTCAATGTAAATTTACAGAGCATTAATATTATAAACTGATTTATTTAAAATATGGTTTCAAAAATGGAAGCTAAAAGCTCAGAATTTAATTTTGTAATTAAATTAAAGACATTAGTTCCATTTCATCCTCAAGCGAATTTTGGAGTAACTTTTAAAATTACTGGGTTTTAAAGACACAGCTAAAATCATAATTCATGTTACAGATAAATCTACTTCAACTGGACAAGGGGTATCTGGGTGGTCATTATGTCTGTATTATTGTATCCGTTATTGGTAGGGGGGTAGGGATGTATTTTTCAATGAAATCTGACATCCGTTGAATGCATGTCGTCTGGATTTTTTTTTAAATTTATTGTTAACGGCAAAAACTCTTACAGCATTTTTTTCTATTTGTATATATTTAAAGCTTTTTGGGGGTGTTTAGGTTAGAATACGTTTTATTTAACTACGATTTGAAATATTTTCATTTATACTATATTTTTAAGAACAATTAAATGTATTAGAATCCCTTATAGTATGTAGAATTATTTTTACATCAAGTATAAGTATGTATATTAGGTTACATTTTTTTTTTTTGTATTTAAATATTATTTAAGTAAAATTTATGACAATGACGGCAAAAACAGTTACTTAATTTCACTGATTTAGTAAACTTTTATTTTTTATATAAACCTAGTAATATATTGTTTCTCATGTAAGTACAAAGGACATGGGTCATTCAAAAGCTTACATCTTCTGGCATTTCATATTAATTTTATTTTACTGTAGGTGTTTTATTGGATTCTTTTAAGTGCGTGTAGTACTAAGTAAAATAAATTTAGGTTAGAATTCATTTTATTTAGCTACAATTTTAATTACAACTTTAAAATATTTTCATTGTTAGTTTTAATAGACTATATTACTTTATAATAGAAGGAAATGTATTAGAATTACTTTTAGTAAGTAAAATTATTTTTCCATATCAAGTAAATTTGCAGAGTATGAATATTATAAATTAACTGATTTAAAATATGTTTTTTTCGCTACACAGTAATAGCCATGTTTCAAAAACTGAAGCTAAAAACTTCAAATTTAATTATATAATTAAATAAAAAGCATTTGTTTTGTTTCATGTTCAAGCGAAATTTGGAATAACTTATTTTTAAATTTACTGAGTTTTAAACGCACATATAAATTCATAATTCCCTGTTTCCAAGGATACAGAGAAATCCAATCATTCAGACAGGGGCGGTAGCATGTTCATTTTTATTAACTATTGTTGTATCAATTGTGAGTTACGTTCGAAAAAGAGGTTAAGTTTAGGGAGGGTAGGGGTGTATTCTGACATCTGTTAAACGCCTGTCGTCTGTTTCTTGGGGGTTTTGTTTTTGATTTTTTTTTAACGGCCAAAAGTTTTTCGACATTTTTTTCGTAATTAAACTTAAAGATGCTATTGAGGGGTGTTTGAGTTAGAATACGTTTTATTTAACTATAATTTTAAAATATTTTTACTCTTAATTACTAATAGACTATACTTCTATTTAAAACAACTAAATGTAATAGAATTACTTAAATTATTTTTAAAATTTCATATACAATCGGAGAATCCATAACATTCCTCTTCTCCCACCAATTATGGGTAAATAGCAGGACATACCGGGTTCTATAGCCTTGGATGGCAACTGGTCTGCCGCAGAAAGAAATGGCAACCTACTGTGGGAAAAATCTGCTTCGTCAGTCATATATCGAAAGATACATGATCGTCTATGCGTCTGTCATGCATGGCACTTAACTGACTGACTGACTGACTGTGAATAAATCTGTTTGAAGTTGAGGCTTTAAATCTAAAGATTATCGTCTCGATAACAATACATTCTGGATCTTTCGTGGTGTTTCTCTACAAAAGCTTAACAACAACTAATGCTATAATAAAAATTGAGAATTATTGTGAAATATCGGATGTCAAATTGAAAGCGTCTCTTAGAAATCTGAAACTATTATGTAGTTGGAACTTTCTCCATGACAATGATACAAATTATTCCCAAAATCACATCAGAATAAGAATATAAAAAGTTTTACTTTTGTCTTCACAGAGTCCCGGCCTAAAGTTCAATTATGAATTGTAAAGACGTAGAAGAAAAAGAGAAGCAAATGACTGTAAGAAGTGGAAGACTTTGCACACGAAGCGCGGTAAAAACAATCCTTTGGATGACGATGCTAATTGACTGAAAGAAAGAAACCAAGTGAAAAAGATGAAAGAGATGAAAAAAAAAAAAGAAAAAAAAAACAAATAGGAGAAGAAATAAAAAAAAGAAAAAGAAAAAAGAGAGGAAAATAAAGAAAGATAGAAAGAGAAAAAGAAAGAAACAAACAAACAAACAAAAAGAAACAAAAAGAAATAAATAAAAAGAATGCAATAATAAGAAAGAAAGAAAGAAAGAAAGAAAGAAAGAAAGAAAGAAAGAATGATTACGAAAGAAAGAAAGAAAAGAGGGAGAGGAAAGGAAGAATAAAAGAGACAAAGAAAGAAAGAATGAAAAAGAAAGAAAGAAAGAAAGAAAAAGAAAGAAAGATAACGATAAAATGCATAAAGAATGACTTTGAAAGATGAAATAAAAAGAAAAAAACTGAAATGACGAAGAAAGCAAAAAGGATCAAATAAAGAAGAAATGTAGAAATAGAAAAAGTAAAAGAGAAAAAGAAAAATCATACTTATTATAAAACCCAGGTTGTGTGTGTGTGTCTGTACGTTTATATATTGGATCGGATTTCCTACATTTTTCAACCGATTTCAACAAAACTTCACAGGACTACGTAAAATTACCTTGCGGTGGTTCTGACAGCGCCAAAAATATGAAAAACAATTGTTTTTGCACGAAATCAATTTGAAAACACGATTAAGAGGCATCACGAGAATGAAAGGGGGACAACTCATATCAAGTTATACTAATTATAAAACCCAGGTTGTGTGTGTGTGTGTGTGTGTGTGTGTGTGTGTGTGTTTTCGTTTATATATGGGATCGGATTTCCTACATTTTTCAAACAATTTCAACAAAACTTCACTTTTTTTTGGCAGGTAGTGTTTCTTATTGTCTTGCACACTTTTTTCTTTATTTTTACATTCAGAATGCTTTTAAAATTCCATTTACAAGACAATTGTTTATAATAAAATTCTATTCAATCGGTAGACTAATAACGATTGAAAACAATGTTTTTGTTTGAGTTTGGGTTTGACCAATTCGTAAAAAAAAAACCGTCAACCTTAAACAATAATCTTTGTCAATTTTATTTTTCAGTCTTTATGATGGTCGATACTTGATCTATCTCTTACTGTTACTTCCCCTGGCAACGCCGGGCTCAATTGCTAGTGGTAAATAAAAAGAGAAAACTGCAGTCCACTTCCTTAGCGGATATGTTTTTTAGCTTAAAAAAACTTCCAGGTAAAAATGCAATGGTATTTTTCTAAGCGTAGCCTAGATGTTGCATAAAACAGAAAGTATGAGGCACCCAGTAAGGTTCGATCTCACTACTCATTCGTAATTGTTCTAGCGATAATGATTTTCTAAGCGTAGCTTAGATGTAGCCCAAAGCCGAAAGTGTGGGACACCCAGTGGGGATGGAACTCACTATTCAGTCGTAATTGGTCTAGAGAGTCAAAATTGCTAAGATTAAAGTGCTCAAGATAAAAATGCAATGTTTTGTCGAGAGAGCAACAAAATAAACCGTCGCGTGTTGAAAAGATTAATGTGAACATTCCAGAAAGTTTCTCACCTTCTTTGTGTGTCCTCAAACCAATGAGCTGGACAAGTCGCATGTTATTAGCTGTAATAGACAAAGGCTTAAAATGAAAACTCTGAGAGCTGATACCTTTGATTTTTCGATTGATTATTCCTTTTTAACGGCTTATCCACACTTTGCAGTTTATTTAAAGCCAGATAATATTTTTAGATTATAAGAATTTTTTCTTTTGGAGATAATAATTATTTTAGTGATACAAGTTTTATTAATTAACCCATAGCTCGGGGTGAAGAGGCATTTGCACGTAAGTGAATATAATAAACCCAACTGGAATTGGAACTTGGCTCTCCGATTAACAATTCCGAGCCGTTATCTATTACACCACAGGCTCATCCAAGCTTAGAGTACGTGGTATTCCTAAGTGGTCACCCATCTAGGTACTTACCAGGGTCGATGTTGCTTAACTTCGGTGAACGTACGGGAACCGGTATTTCAACGTGATATAGCTGTAAGCCCGCAAATACCCTTTGGAAAGACATGAATCCATCTCTTCTCTCCAGCTATGGGTTAAATAGTAAGACTTGTTTCTTGAAAATGTATTATTATTTTCTAAACATTGTTAACGCAATGTTCACTTGCAAAAAAAAATTATTATTCTTTCAGTCCAAACTATGTTTCAACTTTAATGGGTTAGTAAGCCATAAAAACAACACATGGCACAGTGGATAAAGGCGTTGGTTAGATCCAGTGACAGGACCCTAGGAGTTGTCAGTTCAATACCTGGTTAAGGCAGTGGAGAACTTGGAAATGGGGAATTAACAGGAGATAACTGATAACTCTACATCCATTAGACATGGCACGTTGAACTAGAATAGTCTACCCAAGTGAACGAACTAAAGGGTTCAGTTGTAGAACTGAACCCTTTAGTTCGCTTTAATTCCAACCACCTGAAGAAGGCCAGGGCGTACAACGGCCGAAACGTTGTGATAAATATGGCCACAAAGATGAAGACAATTTTCCGAATAATGTAAATAGTGTACATAATACCTCATCTTAGAAATATAGACAGATACATAGAAAACAAATCACTGCATAATCTGAAAATGCGCATCTTCTTCTTGTGTCCGCGTCCCTTCAGGACGTGGCGATCATGGGTCGACATAACTTCTTATAATTCGTAGTTCTTAGCAATATTTATCTTTCAGTTCTATCATCCTTCCAGTTCTATCATCTATTTACACAAACTCGTTAGGTAGGTTACTCAATGTTTTCCTCTGTCCCCCCTATCCTTCAATATGTCCTGTGAGTATCAGATTTTCCAAGCCTCCTTTCCTCGTTATGTATCTTAGAAATTTCAACTGACTCTTTTTGATTCTATGTATGAGCGTCCTTTTTTATTTCCTTTTTATTTAAGACGTTATCGCTTTTCCCATGTTCCGTCAGTTGTATTCTCAGTATCCTTCTATATAACCACATTCCTGATGCCTCAAGTCTTCTCTTTACGTGAGGAAATGTCCCAGCATTCGCTGCTATAAAGAAGGTTTTATAATACACACATCTCTTTTCTTTATTTCTAACGAATTTTTCATTTTTCTTAATACTTTGTTTAGTCTTTAGAAGGCTTCTTTCGTTATTCCACCTTACTTCGGATTTCGGTATCATATTTTCTGTCCTCCGTCCAAACAATTCCAAGATATTTAAATGTTCGTACCTGCTGGATTAATTTGTATTTTGCTTCCTAGGCTGTTCCTGTTTCTGACAAATATAGTTTTTTTTTTGTTTTTTGTTTTTTAAAAATGAATCATTTCCATGTGCGCTCTCGTAATGCCTTTTGCTGAGTCACTTCCGGATATCCACTATCTCTTGAAGTCGAAATATAGTAGGATTTAATTGTCTAGAAAAGAAAGTAGCACTGCAATGGTAGTAATTAAAAGAGAAAGAGAAGTGGAAGCGATAAGGAAGATATAGTTAAGGCTGGAACATCTACTTCCCTGATGATGGACAGTTACTTATTTAATAACCGTGAAAAAATGTCTGCTATGCTTGTAACAAGACACTAACAATAAGTAAACAAACGATTTTCTTCTGTTTCGTCCAACAGTATTAAATACTTTTTTCAGCACGCATCGCTAGATTTTCACAATTTCAAAGTGGAAGATATTTTCAAAAAGACATGCACATATTTGATGACTTATTCTAAGGGTAAAAGTGACGTAATATGATATAATGTCGTCTGTTAAATATCAAAATCTCATCTGACACTTTGACATAACGTTTATAAATAAAGATAAAATTTGGCTGATATCTGTTATTGCATCTTTTATATCATTTCACTCCAAGCAGGGTGATAATGCAACTAGGTGGCAGGGGTTTACAGAGAGTGAAAGAGAAAGACTTTAGTGTGGAGAAGTCAGGAAAATGACAAGAGAAGAACAGTGTTCAGAAAGATAAAAGATGGCGAATGATGTTGCATTTAAATTTTTGAAGATTGTAGGTGGCAGAGAAGCAAGAAATCTGACGGGAATTCCTCGGAAGAGAAGAGCAATAAACTATTAGAATAGAACTGACGCTTGCATCTACCCAGTTCAACAGTAAAATGGTGGGATCTTGTTATCAATCTAATAGCACAATGAAATTCTTGCAGCCGGGACATGAAGATAAAAAGCTTATCAGAACACACGCCATGAAAATATTTGTAGAAAAGGTAGAGGGAATTGAATTATTTTCTCTTTTGATTAGAATAGCATTTTTTATGTCAAAATTATGATCAGTCTCTTTGCGTTTTGTGTGTTGTCTTTTAAAATGCCTCTTTTGTGTTCATATAATCTTTCATTTAAATCTCGGACTTTCGCTATTTTCAATCTAACCAATTTTAAATGTCACTAGCAGCATGGCCCGGCGTTGCCCGTGCTTGATTCAAAAATCGTATGACTCATACAGCAATCGCTATCACTTGACTTAAAATATTTTTGCCCTTCCTTGTCTTTAAAGGAATGCCCTTTGCCGTGCTGATGTTGCTACATGCCTTACTTCTTGCCTATCTCACACTGCAAATTTTTTCTAAGCTCTATACTAAACATTAAATCTGTTACGAAAAAAAGAACTAAACAAAATGAACACAAAACGATCAGCTTTAAAAAGGGACTCGTAATTGGAAAAACCGAATGAAAAAAGAATGTTAACAACAAATACTTTTTCACATCCAACCCAGTTCTGCGGAATCAGAATCAACGTTGAGGTTAAGCAAGCGAATGAGCCAATTGGAGTAAAGTGCCATGCAGATTTAAATTTTTCCCATTTGTGACGAATGCAGCTATCGTTTTTTTTTTTTTTTTTTGCATGCTAGCATGCTAGTTAACATTCGTGTCAGTCAGCTGTTGTCTCTCACGCTGACCAATAGAATCTTCCTGCCTATTCGTGGCAGCCAGTTATTGTCTCTCAATCTGGCCAGTACAAAATGGCCGCAAACTACATGAAAACTGCCTTAGAAGTATGAAAAAATCGATTATTTCCACTATCGATGGAAGCTGGGAAATGCAAAGTCGGTCTTAGCCTTCCCGCTAACTTGGAGCATGTGCATGTAAATTTTGGTGTAAATCCGTCGAAAATTGCGGCCGTGTATTCGTTACACACACACACACACATCCACACACACACACACACACACACAGAGACACACATCCTTCCTTTTATAAATAGAGATAACGATGATGCAGGAAATGTCCTTTATACAATTATATATTAATAAATAACACATACATGTGGACCTTGATAAACTATTTACATTATAAAGCAGTAGAGTACTTGGAGAGGGGAATTAACAGGAGATAACTGATAACTGATATCCATTAAACATGGCACGTGGAACTAGAAAAGTCTACCCCAGTGAGCGAAATAAAGGGTTCAGTTCGACATTCCAACTACCTGAAGAAGGCCGGAGCGTACAACGGTCGAAACGTTGTGATAAATAAGGCGACAAAGATGAGGACAATAGTTCGAATAATGTAAATAGTGTGCACAATACCTCATCTCAGAAATATAGAAAGATACTGAAGAAGGCCGGATCGTACAACGGCCGAAACGTTGTAATAAATATGGCGACAAAGATGAGGACAATAATCAGAGTAATGTAAATAGTGTGCATAATACCTCATCTCAGAAATATAGACAGATACTGAAGAAGGCCAGAGCGTATAACGGCCGAAACGTTGTAATAAATATGGCGACAAAGATGAGGACAATAGTCGGAATAATGTAAATAGTGTGCATAATACCTCATCTCAGATATATAGACAGATACTGAAAGGCCGAAACGTTGTAATAAATATGGCGACAAAGATGAGGACAATAGTCGGAATAATCTAAATAGTGTGCATAATACCTCATCTCAGATATATAGACAGATACTGAAAGGCCGAAACGTTGTAATAAATATGGCGACAAAGATGAGGACAATAGTCCGAATAATGTAAATAGTGTACATAATACCTCATCTCAGATATATAGACAGATACTGAAAGGCCGAAACGTTGTAATAAATATGGCGACAAAGATGAGGACAATAGTCCGGATAATGTAAATAGTGTGCATAATACCTCATCTCAGAAATATAACCAGATACTTTGGTCCTTATTATCATACATGTACCTTATTTGTAGAATTTGCTGCATTTGTCTGCAGATACGCCCACGCTGTACTTGAATATCATTGCAAACCAGGTCAGACATGTCCTGTCGAACCTATTTCTTATGAAAATTGATATGTTCAATGCACTCTTAATGTTGTAATTTTGAGATCACAGGGATCAAGGTTACTTTTTGCCAAGCATGGTATATATGCTCTTTAGGGAACTTTGCCATCACAAACTTTGATTACTTTATAACAGTTGACAATTCTGATTTTCCCAGGTGACAACTTTCATGAATATATGTTTTGTATTTCAAAAACATGGCCCGTTGTGAGAGAAGAAGCTGCAAGAACAGCCACAATGTCTTCTGCTGTATTTAACAAGGCAGCGAAACAAAATCACAGATTTTAGCAAGAAAGCGTACCTTAATTTCCCATGAAACTGGGCAATGAAGACAAAGCCTGGAAACCCCATATAGTGTGTAAAAATGTGTTGAAATGCTGGAAAAAGAACCAAAGTCAACTACGCTTTAGCTTGGCCATGGTGTGGAGCGAACCACAAAACCAACAAATAGTGCTTGAAAAGATTCAGTATGAGGAGCGCAATTGGACGATATGTGGGAAGTCATTGATTTTCTTCTTGGCCTAAAATGTCTTTATACCAAGTATATTTGCTTTGTGTGTCTTTGGGACAGTCGAGAAAAGATAGATACGAAAGACATGACCAGACAGAAAGAAGTTCAAAATTGAGGAGAAGCGTGTTTCAAAAAGGCCGCTGGTTAATCCGAGAAACGTTTTGCTTCCGCATTGCATATTAAGCTTGTGCTGATGAAGCAGTTTGGGAAATCCTTCGGCCAACATGATGACTTTTTCAAGGCTTTTAGCCTTGTCTTGTGAGAAAATTAAGGCTGATGTGTTTGACGGGCCGCAGATGAAGCGGCTGTTGCCGGACGAGGAGTTTTTGGAGTTGATGTTCGGTGCTGAAAAAGAAGCGTAGAATCCTTTTGCTGTGGTAGTGTCTCAGCAATAGGACGTCGTCAAATTACAAAGAACTTGAGCAGACCCTGTTAACCAGTTTTCAAGCACTAGGCTGCAGCATGAGTGTAACAGTGCATTTGCTGCACAGTCATCTGAACTAATTCTCTGAAAATCATAGTGCAATGAGTGGTGAGCAAAGAGAAAGATTCCATCAAGAATATGGAATCCCTGTATCGAGGCAGTTTGAACACAGACATGATGGCTGACTACTGTTGGTGTCTAAAAAGAGACTGTTGCGACGCAAGTTATTTACGCAAAGCAGCAAAGAGAATCTTCGTTCTTTGTTCAGCTGAAACTCCAGTTTGACAGAAATATCTTTCCCAGGATGTGTAATCGAACATTTTGGTTAATATATTTGTTAAACAAGAAAAAAAATTAATTTGTGTTTGTTTCTTAGTTCAGCATTGCATTTAATGCCGAAATTGACATTTTTGGTAAAAATAAATTCCAATTTAAAAAAGAAACTTGACGTGATAGTAAATTTTTCCAAGTTTATTTCTGAACTCATCAAATTAAATAGAAACAATTGTAAAAAGCAAGTCAAATAAATTTTTTCGAAAATTTTCCCCAGTGTAATTTTCAACACCTGCTGAATTTGTGTTTTATTATCTATCGTGTTGAGTTGATTTGCAATCTTGCTGTTTCAAATAAGGTGGGTTTTTTAAGCTGAGTAAACATTTATGAAAATACGTCTTTTGCTTTTAATTATCGTTCAAAATTCCTCGTATTATACACAAGAAAATACAGTATCCCACCAAATTCACAAAAAAAAAACACTAAAAACTTCCCCATATAGAATCAAGTGCTAGGTCTGCTACAAGGAAATTGGTTTACTGTGTGGTGCTGGACAATTTCTCTCGTCACAATAAATCTTGCACATTTATAAATCTACCATTCGTCTGTACAATGACAATTGCTGCTATATCAAATCTGGTGCTCTGATATATATATATATATATATATATATATATATATATATATATATATATATATCGAGATTTTTAGAAAAATTTCAGGGAAGGGTCTGTAATGTAATCGATCCTGATCTGGCATCTCGACTTTAGTCAATTTCTCATCGACGTGACGTGTCTTCCTTGTGTCTTTTCTATAAATATTTTCATTGCAACTGCTCTGCAGAGCTTTTTATATCAGTTCCATTCTAATAGTTTCTTTTCTTGCACTTCGCACCCGTGGAAGTCCTTTCCAATTTCTTGCTTCCCTGCCACCTACAATCTTCAAAAATTTTATTTCAGCATCAATCGCTATCTTCTGTCTTCCTGAATTTTGTTCCTTTATTGTCCTTTCCTCAATTCTCCTCACTGAAGCATTCTAATTATCATTCCTCTCAATCTAATTCTCATTCTCATTCTAATTCTCATTCTCATTTTCATTCTCATTCTAATTCTCATTCTCATTCTCATTCTAATTCTCATTCTAATTCTAATTCCCAATCTCAGTCTCATTCTCATTCTAATTCTCATTCTAATTCTCATTCTAATTCTCAATCTCATTCTTATTCTCATTGTCATTCCCATTCTAAATATCATACTCATTCTCATTCTAATTTTCATTCTCATTGTAATTCTCATTCTAATTCTCATTCTCATTCTCATCATTTCCCTGTATCCCTCTGCATCCTGGCGGCATTATCGCCTTACTTGGGATTAAATGTGTTTTGAAAATGCTTCATATGCTAATCAAACTCTTTCTACTGTTCGTTCTGAGACTTGACAGCATAAATTAAAAAACAAAAATGAAGAATAATTTGAAATAGGAAGAAATGAGGCAACGTCATTTTTTTTACTTGTAAAATCCGTCCTATTTCTGGGTTATAAATCATAGCAAAAATTTATCTCATAGTCCTTACTAAACCGAGCTTAGAGAGAATCTCTCTTTCCAGTTATTTTTACAGATGAGACCCCGAATCGATAGTAATTCCTTCAAGTGTTTCCATCTTTAGTCCATCCACACCAAACGGCCATGTTCAGTAACGCCTATCAATCACACTAACGAGAGATATTTATCTTTGAGCGAGACGGACACGCATATCAATAACGGGTTTAGAAGATTAAGCAAAAACATGTGTACTTGTTCGACAAACCATGTTACTCGCGAACAGATGGAGGACTTTTCAAAATGAACAAAAACGATTACAAAACCTCCCGTGGATTTTTTTTTGTTTTGTTTTTGTAAGTATTGTTTCTTTATTTTTTCTTTCGATTTTTCTCATTTTGCTTTTCGTTGTACTGTTCTTTCTTAACTCAAATATGATTTGTTAAATCGTTCTTGTTCTCGCTGTTTTTGTGATATAGTTATATGTCTGACTTGCAGAAAGAAGATAAATGGACGAAATTTTCCATCCAGTAGGAATACGTAAGCGTTTTCATTTTAAATTAGTCTTATTTCATTTATTTTACTTTAATGATATTTCTTCTAACTTTTTTTTAAAGACATCCTGTCTATTATTTCCTGTTTGTCATTGTGTAGTCTCGTCGAACTCTCAACGTTGCGAGATTAGAAAACTCGCAGAAGTAAATTCGTTAATTCTTATTGTCTGTTTGCAATGATTCGTTATTTTATTCACTCTTGACACGCTTGGATCTATTAATTCACCCCAAATAATATAAAGTTACTCATCGCAAATATTAATTTACCCCCAAGAAATTATAAATCATTTATACTTAATTGTGAATGCATTCGTAATTAAAAGTGTTTTACAACAAAGAACTGATAAGTTTGATCTGTACTCACTACTTGTAAAGTTTGGATTTTTACACAGTAAATTTATTTATATATGATTTGATTCGTCAAAAAACACTAAATCTAAATAAATATTAGGTTGTCACACGCATTTTTTGGTTGATCGTTGATCCGGTCGTCGAACGAAGTAAGCTCTTTAGAATATAAAAAAATCCTCACTTATTCCTCTTTCTTTCCAGATAATTTATCGTTCACTATATTGTAACAATAATCCCAATGAAAATGATTACAATGAAACAATGTCGATTAACCTTACTCTATGAGTATAAACTGGGAAAAAGAACGATTTTTGAATAGGATCATTACATGTGATGAGAAACGGATGCTCTTTGACAACAGTAAGAGAGTAGGCTAGTGGTTAGATGCGAGTGAATCACCAAAACAATACCCACAACTTCCATTGCACCCTAAAAGGTTAATGGTTACTATATGGTGGTCCTTCAAAGGGGTTATTCATTTTCGCCTCAAGGGAAAACAATAACAGTAACCTAGTATTGTAGAGAAATTGAGTGTCTGCACGAAAAATTAAAAAAGAAACATCCTAGACTTGTGAATAGGGATAACCCAATTTTTCTGCACGACAACGGACGAGTGTATGCTTCTCAATCAACGGTCCAAAAGCTGCATGGCGTGAATTATGAAATTTTGCCTCATCTTCCATATTCACCTGATATCTCTCCTACAGATTATCACTTATTTAAGCATTTGGAGCTTTTCATACGGAATAAAACATTCTTCAATAAGGAAGAGCTAATCGATGCATTTGAACTGTTTATCACATCAAAGGATGACAATTTTTTTAAAAGATGGGATCAAGAATTTAGAGGTACGTAGGAGAACAGTCATTCATCAACATGGTGCCTATTTCAACTGAATAAGTTATTTATTTAATATTTCAGAAGCGTTTTTTTCATTTCCGATAATGTGCGTTATTTCATGTGTGATAATCTAATACTTTTATTACACTTCCAGAAAATCTGTAATATACATAAGTATGAAGCAGGACTCTTTTGTTTTAACTTCTTACCAGCCTCGTTCTAATCACCTTATTGAAATTGTCTTAGTTCGAAACTTCTTTTTTGCTTGTTCCTTTCGTTATTTCTTTCTCTTTTTTCTTTCTCTTTTTTCCCTTTTCTTTCTTTTTTACTTTTTCTTTCACTTTTTTCTTTCTTTTTTCCTTTTTTCTTTCTCTTTTTTTCTATCTCGCTCGTTTGTTTACCCTTCCATTTGTTCAAATGATATTTTGCCTTTTTTTTCCTTTCACAAGCCCGATTCAAAACTTTATTTTCACTTTTTCTTTTCACATTTGCATTCTTTTTCTTCATTCTTTGCTTCCTTTTTTTAATCGGATCCTCAGTATTTATCCAGTTTCATCTTCTCTATTTGTCTCCTTTCTTCTTTCCTTTCTCTCATGAACTTTTTTCTAGATCTTTCTCTTCTCATTCACCTTCAGATCATTCTCCCCGTTTTATCTTCATATCTCGTCTCCTACTCCTTCTTCGAAACTTCCTTCTTGCCTATGCTTTTTTCTTTTTTCTTTTTCAGTTTTTATTTCTTTCTTTTTCAGTTTTTTCTTCATTCTTTCTATATTTCTTTATCGTTCTTAATTCTTCTTTTCTTTTTCTTACAGTTTTTCTTTTTCTTTCTTTCCGTCTTTCATTACTTTCTTTTTCTTTCCTTCTTTCTTTCCACCTTTATTATTTTCTTTCCTCCTTTCTTTCCTTCTTTCTTATTTTCTTTCTTTCCTTCTTTCTTATTTTCTTTCTTTCTTGTTTTTATTTTTTATTTTCTTTCTTTTCTTCTTTTATTTCTTTTCTTTTTCATTATTTCCTTTCTTTCTTTCGTTCATTCCTTTCTTTATTTTCTCATTCTTTCCTCTTTCTTTCGTTTCGTCTTTCTTTCCTTCTTTCTTTCTACTTCACTTATTTTCTTTCCTCCTTTCTTTCTGTCGTTCTTTCTTATTTTATTTCTTTCATCCTTTCTCATTTTCTTTTCATCCTTCTTTCTTCCCGTCTTTCTTATTTTTATTCCTTGTTCTGTTTGTCTTTCCTTCACCTTTTCTGCACACGCACTTTTCCCTTTCCTACTTATTACCCGCACCTTTCAAAAGTGACTTTCCCCTCCTCCTGTTTACCTCAAATCACTTTTTGCTAATAAAAATACGGAGTCGTAATCTAAGCAGAAGGCTTAACCGAAGCAGCAACCACTGAATATGGTACCCAGTGGTTGCTCCATTAGCAACAGAATATTGAGGATTAAGTTTGTCAACCAAAATCTGTGGAGATTTTTTTCCCTTCACTCGTCCAGTCTCTTTTCTGACAGTTTCGGGCAAACCAGGTCCTAACAACAACAAGACGTCAGTAAATGTGAGACAGAGAAAACACAATTATGCCGGGAAACAAAGTAGGGGAAATAAAAGAATAAAAGAATAAAGGAATAAAAGATTAATAGTTTTAGGAGTTCGTTGGGAATAAGATCCACAGGGAAAATAATAAAGAAAATAAGGAATAATATTTTTTTTCTATTTTTTTAACCGAATTCACCCCAAGCAAGGCAGTAAAGCCACTAAGGCACAAGGGGTTACGAGTAATCAGGAGGACAGTAAATAGCGATTGACACTGCATTGAATTTCTGAAGATTAAAGTTGGCTACAAAGCATGAAGCCAAAACATAGTTCCACAAGCGAGAACGTTTAAAACCGGTCTTAAGTTCTCTCCCGTCTCTTGGCCGTCTAATTAGAAAGCCATGATATCACCATATGCAAGGCTGTAAAGCTATTAAGATACAAGCGGTTACAGTGTGTGGAAGAATTAGGAACAGAGACATTAATAATGAGAGTGAGGAGAAATCGGGAAGACAGCGATTGATATTGAATTTGAATTTTCGGCGATTAAAGTCAGCTCGAAAGCATGGAGTTGGAAAGAAGCTCCAGAAGCGATAAATACGAGAAAAGGAACTGTCAGCATAGAACTTACGGTTCCATCTAGCCAACTCGACTTGTAAATTCCTGAGATTCCGTCGTCAGTCTAGTAATGTGCTTAAATAAAAAAAAAAATCGAGGTACCATAGCGAAAAGCTTATCGGAACAATTACCATGAAAATATTTAGAAAATAAAATAAAATTGAAAACAGATTTCGGCTGATTTACGATGTGAAAAGATTTGAATAGTTGAATAGGAACTAAAATTAAAACGATAATTTATATCCTTTGTAATATTTCAAAGATACGGATTTGCATTTTGGCTAAAGAGCACTTCTAACAATACGCATTGGACTGCAGTCCGAACTGAATTTGTACATTGCTACAACGATAGAATGTGTTTTACGTGAAAAAAAATGTCATCTTAACATCGAAAACAAAATGTTGCTTTTAAAAGACAAAGAAGAAATTATACTTTTTTTTCTCTCTCTAGCTTTACGCCTCATCACATTGAAACACTGGTATCCTGTACAAGTTAAGCAACGTCGAGCCTGGTCAGTATCTAGAGGGTGATCACTTGGAAATATTAGGTGTGTACGCTTGGATGTGCTGGTGGTATAATGGATAATGGCTTGAAATTGCGCAAAATCCATTCAGATGAATGCAACTCTTTTCCCGCCATCTATTGGTTAATTAGTAAGATTTTATTACTAAAATCATTATTATCTAAAAAAAAAAAATAATTACGTAAAAATATTTAGATTTCGGCATTATATACGTGTTGATATGCCATGAGACAAAAACAGTCAACCAATAATTTCTCTATCTTCGTCTCAAACTCTTTATTTTTCTGTCTTTATCTTTGCCTTTGTGCCTCTTTCTCTAGCCTTATCTATCTCTATATCTCGTACGATATATATATATATATATATATATATATATATATATATATATATATATATAAAGGTAACAAATCCGTTGGTATATAATACAAGTGGATCCTAGTAATATAAAATATTAAGACCGATCCACAAAAAGAGCTCAATTTATGTATTATGACAGAGCAAATAACTAATAAACAATAAAATCCAAAATCACCTCATATGGGGATTGCCTATTTTGACAGAGGAAGATATCGGCCATTTGTGTTATCAACCCCGGTGTTTGTGCAAGAAATAGAAATTTAACCGTGGAAGCTAAAAAAAAAAAAAAGCAGTCAAAATACTAATGGAGAATTTATCCATTCCAATGTTTCAGTCAGACAAAAGGCATAAGACAGGTGTCAGGGGAGGGTGGAAGGTATTTGTCTTAAAGGCAAGAAGTTTTATAAAATTAAACCCGAATATTAACCTTATGAGATTAACTTGGGGCTACATGAAGAATGAAATATTAATTTAAAACTAAAAAAGGAATAAAAAGGGGTTTTAAAAAAACTTTAAAATATATGGATAAAAGGATGTAAGGGATTAATGGAAAGACAGATGAGGAGATTTTAGAGTAGGGGAAGTTATATATATATATATATATATATATATATATATATATATATATATATATATATATATATATAGAGAGAGAGAGAGAAAGAGAGAGTATGGTTAAAGAAAGAAGTTATTAATTACTATATATATAATATTGTTAAAGAGGCAATATATATATATGGGGTGTGTGTGTGTGTGTATTCTGAACTGTATTTGACACATTGTTGTAACTCAGTTTTAAATTTGACCTTCCTATCTCTTTACCTTCCTTTACCCATTATATCAACTTGTTCCCTCTTCTTAATGTAAGCACCCCCCCTAAGAAAACTTTTCTAGATCAACTTATTTTTCCTATTATTTCATCTTGTATTTTTTTATTCTTTTATAATTTTTTATTTTTTTTTATTTCTTATTTTTTTTATTTTTGTTTCTCTGTCTGTCTTAATATATTGATCCATTTCATAAAATGTAGTCGGTCTGATGAGATGAATATACCCATATATATATATCATCGATATAAATTTATTACCGACAATGAATTTTTAAAGTTTTTCCTAATTATATATATATATAAAGTATAGGATTCGCGTTTACGGAATAAATTCCAATAACCAAAAAATACTATTCCTTAAATAGTGCTCAATACAGAGTAGAGCAAATATAATTTATTCGAAAATTATAACATAAATATGTTATAAAAATCACTACAAAAATAGCCATTTTGTTTCAACACTTCTGGTGCCTTACTAATTGATGGTTTTCAATGTAGAATAAAGGGTTTTAAAAGGTTTAAATCGACCAAACACCCTTCGGTAGGGGGAAACTCTATTGTATAAGCTTTAATGACCAATCAAAATACAAGTGTATGAGAATTCAAAAAACTTGACAACGAACCTTGCTTATACTAATTAATGCCTTAATGTTAATGTTTGACTAAAATAGAAATCATTCTAATTAATATTAAAATTTACTATAAAATTGAAAATTAAAAATTACCAATTATAAATTTTAAATTTAATTTGTATTAAGTTTAAAATATTATAAAATTATATATATATATATATATATATATATATAATAATTTTATAATATATATATATATATTATAAAATTATATATATATATATATATATATATTATAAAATATATATATATATATATATTAAAAATCATATATATATATATATATATTATAAAATTATATATATATATATATATATTATAAAATTATATATATATAATTTTTATGTTTAACATTCTTTTTATAGATACAAGTATTTAAGTAAATGCTCTGTTTATAATAAACAGTATTAAATAACATTTACCGGCCTGAATGTCCGAGAAATTTTCATAGAAAATATTCCTCCTTTGACAGGATTCGAACCTGCATCCTACACGGAACGGAAATGTCTTTAATAAATTGTCGGACTTTGTGGCCGAGAGGTTAGGCACGCCAAGCTAAATGACGGTTCCGTATAGGATGCAGGTTGATCTGATGAGGCGATTCAAGAACATGACTTGCAGTGTTTGATAAAACGATCCCTAACACAGCCTATTTTATGTTCAATTTCATTTTCCCCTATGCCAAAATTGGTATAACTGATCCATACGCCAAGGTATTTGATATTCACTAATTCCAAATACTGAATTTGTTTTTGACAGATTCAGAATATGCGCTATCAGTGCTTTCATCGCAATTCCAGATCATCTTACTTATTATAAAACGCAGGTTGTGTGTGTGTGTGTGTGTGTGTGTGTGTGTGTGTGTGTGTGTGTGTGTGTGTGTTCGTTTATATATGGGATCGGATTTCCTACATTTTTCAACCGATTTCAACAAAACTTCACTTTTTTTTTGGCAGGTTGTGTTTCTTATTGTCTATTTATTTTTACATTCAGAATGCTTTAAAAATTCCATTTACAAAACAATTGTTTATAATAAAATTCTATTCAATCAGTAGACTCATAACGATTGAAAACATTGTTTTTGTTTGAATTTGGGTTTGACCAATTCGTAAAAAAAAAAAAAAACTATTTAAGACATGCATGTCTGTCAACCTTAAACAATAATCTTTGTCAATTTTATTTTTCAGTCTTCATGATGGTCGATACTTGATCTATCTCTTACTGTTACATCCCCGAGCAACGCCGGGCTCTACTGCTAGTAGTTTCTATTTTACACAGGTTTATCTTGCGTTCTGTTTCTTAGAACACTTACTAAAGGATGTTGTTTTCCTGTTTAAGATCATTCATCCCAACTATGAACACCTATGTCATCAGCATCACTTTCTTCTACTTTCCTTCTTCCCACACTAATTTGGTTTCTGTTGGCGTATTTTTCTTATGTTCCGTCGACATCATTGTTTTATTCATTGTTTCGTGTTTGTAACCTTTGTATACGCTTTCTGCCACTCTACATACGCAAGTGTACAAAAACACGCACTTGCACTGTCATAGACTTACTCAAACACCAACACAGACACAGAGACACGCATTTGAAAAAAACACAATGCCACACACCTGTACAAACACAAATACAGACATACGCACAAACAAAAGAAAACGCACATGTACACATAGACATCGAGTAACACGTAAGAGTGTGCAGACATACATGTCGACAACAATTCTCCTCTCACATACACGCATAAAACCATGCACATATACACTCTGTGTGTGTGTGTGTGTGTGTGTGTGTGTGTGTGTGTGTGTGTGTGTGTGTGTGTGTGTGTGTTACAATGTCTTTTTGTTGTCCGCACCTGCATTTTCAAGCGACTGAACGGATACTCTTTCCCTTTCTCTCTTTCTCTCTCTCTCTCTCTCTCTCTCTCTCCCTTACACATACACGCGCCCGCTCACACACACATACGCACAAATACTCTCTCTTTCTCTCATGTACACACACATAGACGCTCTTTCCCCCTCTCTTAATCTCTCTCGTCCACATCAGCATTTCCTACGAACTGAACAAACTCTTTTTATCTCTCTCTCATACTCATACTCTCACCGTCTCTCTCACTCAGACACTTACCCTCTTTCTCTCTGAAACGCACCCATTCTCTCTCGCACACTCTCACTCGTCCGCACCTGCACTTCCAAAAGACTAAATAGATACTATTTCTCTGTCTCTCACACTCTCACTCTTACTCGCTCAAATATGCATACATTTCTCCCTCTCTCTCTCTCTCTCTCTCTCTCTCTCTCTCTCTCTCTCTCTCTGATGCACATAACCTCAACCACGCCTTCACTTTCAAATGGCTGAATGGATACTCTTCTTTCTTTCTTTCTTTCTTTCTTTCTTTGTGTGTGTATGTGTATCTATCTGTCACTTTCATATACACTAGTTCACACCTACAATTCCAAACGCCTGAACGAATACTCTTCTCTCTCTCCCTCTCTCGCACACACACATTTCTCTCTCTCTCTCACACACGCACGCACGCACACACACACATACACACTTTCTCTCACTTCTCTCTCTCTCACACACACACATATACACACACACTAGTCCACAACTACACTTCCAAACGCCAGAACAGATTCTCCCTCTCCCTCTCCCTCTCACACACGCACTCACACACACGCACAAATGCACATATACTCGCACACACACTCTAGTCAGCACCGACACTTCCTAACGACTGGACAGACGACAGTATCTCTCTCTCTCTCTCTCTCTCTCTCTCTCTCTCTCTCTCACACACACACACACACACACACACACACACTTTCTCTCTCTCTCTCTCGTATTCACCAGACTGGGTGGTCTTTATTCACTCACTGAATCCGACAGAGGGTGATTCTTGTTTACAGTCGTAACAGAAAGTGTAAGATCGCTTATTCTGCTCTACCGTTTCCCGTCGTATCGTAACATAAACCCGACATCCTTACGCTTCGCTTCGCCTCTGACGTATCCATTTTCTTTGACGATATCAGAAACTCTAGGTGCTCTTCACTCTCTGCTTATCGAACCAGGTAGCTGTATTACGGGTGGGCATTTCATGTAGGTTAGTATAGGGTTAGGAAGAATGATTGCGCAGTCATTTTTTTATCTGGATCACAACTAGTTTCAGTATAGCGATCGCCCATCAGCCTGCTTTCCCTTATTGTCTTTCATTCATCTTTTCGCGTGAAATTAGTTGCGAAACGCACATGTCAGATTGAATTACAAAAAGGCGGGAAACCGGCAAGTATTGATTTTTACGCTGATAGTCAATGGACTCAAGAATGTCTTTTTTACCCTGAATATCGTATAGTTTCAGTACCACGGCGTTCAGGATAAGTAATATAAAACTCTGAATTCTGGGTTGCTTTTTTTAAAACTCGAACGCTGATTGCAAGTAATAATACAATCGTTACAAGAATTCACCAACGTTTCTTTCTTTCTTATTCTTAAAGATATTAATTCTTTGGTGTGTAGCATGCTAAAGAATCACAAAAACCTGAACCAAATAAAAGAAACCATATCACTTGAAGACTACCAAGAGCAGCAACAACTAAAATGAATATCGCATGTAACTCGAAGGGAAAAATGACATGACTAAGCTGTTAACATTTCACATTATTTCAAATAAAAGGGTAGAAAAAAAAACCCTCACCAATACTGGAAAAAGCGATAACACCTTCTGGACTTGATAAACCTGTTTTTCTGAAAAATTGTTTTAAATATATATATATATATTTAGACTGCTGATAACGAAGACAGCAAGAAGCCGATAGGGAATCGACATCTTTTAGTGATTAGCTATTTCAATAATTAATATCTGTCTATATTTCTGAGATGAGGTATTATGTACACTATTTACATTATTCGGACTATTGTTCTCATCTCTGTCGCCATATTTATTACAACGTTTCGGCCGTTGTACGCTCCGGCCTTCTTCAGGTGGTTAGAATGTCGAACTGAACCCTTGAACCAGTGAGCGAAATAAAAGGTTCAGTTCGACATTCCAACCACCTGAAGAAGGCCGGAGCGTATAACGGCTGAAACGTTGTTATAAATATGACGACAAAGATGAGGACAATAGTCCGAATAATGTAAATAGTGTTCAATAATTAAATATGTAAGTTTTCCCCACGGAAACATTTTGTAGCACCTGAAATAAAGGTGGTGAAGAAGAGTACATATCACAAAATAACAGACCAATTAACTTGCCATGCAAAGATAATATTTATTAAAACATAATTAACAAAAGTAAAGTTTAAAGCAATAGTTTCTTTTATTCGAAGTAAACTGCATATACAACAAAATGTTTACGAATAGACTTGAATGGGACTTACTGTGTTGGCGTGTTTTAGTGTGAAGCGATCACAGCTCTTTTAGTTTCAACGTGGAAAGTTCATGTCACCAGTTCGAAAGCTGAAACCCGGAAGAAAGTGAATTACTTTAGGGTTCATGTGTTTTTATATCCGAGAGCTGCTATTTAGGGCTCTACCGCTACTATGTTTAAGGTCACTACAATCAGAGGGCATATTTTTATAACACAGTCCTAACTTCAAAAATTATAAACCAATTTAAACCTTGCTTGCATTTGTCACCAAGTCAAGAATTAAATATCAAATATATTTTGTGTATCGGCACATTCTTCTATTTTCCTATAATTACATCAGTTTAAAAAAAAATGAGAAAAGATTGTTTTTAAAAAATCCGCGTTTAAATTTTTCATTCTTAAACAAAACGTATGCAACAGTAAAGCCGATGCATAATTGGTAGAAAAAACCTTACAATTTGTAGTGAACAAAACAAGATCTAGATTTAAAATTCAAATGCTAATCACTGACACATTGATTTTGTTAGAAATTAAAAAGACTCGAATTTAAAAACTTTCTTTTAACACACTCTAGTCGAATCCGAAACAAAACTCGTGAAATTTCACACCTTGATGCGAAATGTTTTTCAGCCAATAGAAAACTAGGAAACATTTTGAAACAAAGTTCAAATAATCTTCAATTCTCAGAAACAAATCCTTTTACGGAACTTTTCGCGAGACGACGCAAAGTTTCTTCGTCGTCCAATGGAAAGGCCCGAATCATATCCGGGAGTGAATTCCCAATTGACCTTTTCAAGCCCCACAAACAAAATAAAAGAGAGGCGAGTTCGCCTGTCACCATAGAGAAGGAGACGAGCGTATTAACACGTCCCTTGACAAACGTCAAGCGATCATTATTATTATCTCTAACATTCTCCCTCACCTCTTTTATACTTGATAAACGAACGGAATATTTTAAGACTGAGCGATTACTTCAAAGACATTCCTGCCCTACGATAACGCTCATACATACATACATACATAGATCCACACATACGTTCCTGCCTACGTACACATAAACTCATTCTTGCAAGGACTACTACGAACATTTTGACGACCTTGTATCAACCAAAATACATTAATTTTATTTGTAGAGGCCTTAATTAATTTATATGTATATAAATTTGCTGTTTCACTTTACAATTTGATTTTCTTGTTTTATATCCCTCTTATGGCAGGCTATCTAACAAGACCAAATCAAACTAATCTGTTTCAACACTCATTCACTTCACTATAACTGATAACCCACTATAAATTGAAATTCAATTTACTGCCTGTCAAACAAAACTATATATATAATTTTAGCCTGATGACAACAAAAACAGCAAGAAATGCGTCAGTGAAAGTGTTAACCTCTGACAGCATTGCATATTTTTATAACGCAGTCATAACTTCCCAAATTATAAACCAATTTAAACTTTGCTTTTCATCTTTTCAAATTTAATACATAATCTCACCAATTCGTTACCAAGAATGATATACCAGATATTATAGCCTTTAGTTTAATGTTTCACTGCTCAGAGATATCATTAAGTGTCTATTTAATGATATAATAAATAATATAAGCCGTTTAGAAATCAAGGGAAATCTTTAGTTAAAGCAAATTTTAAATAAAACGCAAATATCTATGAATAGAAAACATTTTTATGGGTCAGTATATTATTTCCTTTTTATGTATCTATTTTACACGCATAGGTAAAGAATGATAATGGCTGTAGGTAATTGGCGCCTGTCATGGCGTCATGACTAGCAGGCCATTTCGCTATTGTTGGGAATTCTATGTTCACTCGATGTCCCATTTAAAAACAAAATGACCTGCATTAAGTCTGGGACTGTTGCAGGTTTTTACAGGTTCCATAGATAAATATTCGAATTTCAAGATTAATAGAGCGGCTATATTTAAAAGATTGACGCAATACAATTTTCCTAATCCGAAGCGTTGTCCTTCAGTCATCCAAACACAATTATAAAACACCACAAACATATACATATTTGGTAGATCATCGGAGCATATATATATATATATATATATATATATATATATATATATATATATATATATATATATATATAATGTAAAAGACAAAAGGAAAACTGTAATAGTTGCTCATGCCTTTCGTCCAATGTGGACTTTTTCAAGGTAAAGTAAGTAATAATACTGAAACACAATGTCCTTAGCAACTGGAAGAATTTAGAGAACTCTATTTTCATACTGTTAACTGAAAATTACGTCAATTACTGTCACGTGTGGACATTTTAAAAATGCTACACTCATAAAAAAAAAAATAACTCACTCAGAAGGTAAAATCCTCGAGAGTGCCGCCATTCAATATTATCCAAATATTAATCTACGCTCAGGTTTTTTCCCTATTTCACCTTTCTTAACAGAATTACTACTCTCCCAAATAAACGTACAGGACAGTATCAAGAAATCAAAAGAAAATGGCTGAATCTGTCAACACAGCAATAAAAACAATATCTACACACGTGACAGTAAATGACGTAATTTTCAGTTAACAATATGAATATAGCATTCTCTAAATTCTTCCAGTTGCTAAGGACATTTTGTTTTGTTATTATTAATTACATTGTTTAAAAAAATCATTTTGTTTTTGCCTTGAATACTGGGCAGAATATAGCGGTCTCTCTGTTTTATGGGTTGGACGGTCCCTACTAACATCAATTATCTTTAGTTTGTATTTGTGTTTATTTAAGTTTATTATTGGGTTCATTTCCCTCCCCTCTCATTTTACCATTATTAGAATTGTATATATATATCATCATTAAAAATTTTTATGGCATGGGGCGCGATTTTGGTAGGTCTCCCTTGAGAGCACGTGGTATTATGGTGGTTGAAGGATTGTTTGGTGATGGACGAGTTCTTTTGGTGAATGGGTAAAATGTAATGTACGAATGGGTCGCGAATCTGATTAGCTAGGTATAAGATAGTTAGTGTTGATCAGCCTCTAACCCTCCCCTTTATTGGCCTTGTGCCACAATTTGTACTTTTTGTATGAATAAATACCAGTCCACACGGACGAAACGCGTCGACAACTATTACAGTTCTCCTATTGTCTTTTACACACACACACACATATATATATATATATATATATATTATATATATATATATATAGTAGTTAAATTAAGAAACAGGCAATTTTAAGGGTTCATAGGATTATAGTTTATTTCCCCCAGAAACGGGATTTTTGTCTTAGTTCATCGGAGCTCATTTCCAAATAAAAAATTGTTTAAAAACTTAACTGCTATTATTCTTATATACATGTTTTTGAGGAGGCAGCTTCAAGGTGATAGAGAGAGGGGTATGAGGAAGAAGATAGATATGTGATCGAAATTAGAGAGGGAAAGGGATAGATAGGAAATGTTTATATCTATGTTTATTAAAATATGTATGTGTAAGGGTGGTAGGGTAAGAGGCCAGACATGTTGAGCTATTTAACAAGTTTTCTTTTCATGGGGAAAATGAAAATAACTAATTATATATATATATAATTAGTTATTTTCATATATATATATATATATATATATATATATATATATATATAGAGAGAGAGAGAGAGAGAGAGAGAGAGACTCGATTTCGACGTATGAAGATCAAGCAACTCATTTCCTTGAAACCGACAGACAGACTACCCGCACAAATTATTTGTTTATAGTGGTGAATTCTTGTGCAGAAGCAAAAACACTTTTTGTGAGGGCCGAATACAGTGAAGTGGTGCACAGTGTGTCTACAAGTTCCCCAGGTTTTGAATTCAGTCTGTCCTGGTATTTACCCATAGGGAAGAAGAGTATTCATACTTTTCCCGAAAATGAATTCGACCTCGGCTCTTCAATCCGAGTCGCTATCCATTATTCCACCTTTTCTTTTCATATATATATATATATATATATATATATATATATAGTCATCCACAGACAGACTGTTTCGCTGTTTCACAGCTCTTCAGTGTGGCTAGACATCTGGTTGCTTCTAACTAGGATCGAAACCCGACTGTATTGGTGTCAATCGGAGATTCTACCACTAAGCCGTCGGCAGGAATGAAGGTGAATTTTAGCGTATTTATTTTTAGATAAACACACACAGTGACCGACAGTGACTCAATTCGTTTTTTGCCGAATATATAGTAATTTGGATTTTGATAACCAGACGCTTCTCTGTAGCTAAATAGTATAGCACGTCAGATTAAATGACAGTTTCCCTAGGAATACAGTTTCGATTCCTGTCGGAGAACGCATATTTTCTACGAAATTTCTCGAACAGTCAGGCCCGTAAATGTAATTAATACTGTTTAATTAAAAACAGAGTATTTATTTAGATAAATTGTATCTAAAAAAATAACGTATAAAGAGAAAAATAAATTAAATAATTGACAATCCATTTTTATATATATATATATATATATATATATATATATATATATATATATATATATATATATATATATATATATATATATATATAAATTACATCACAACGAAATGCAGAGTCACTTTAAAGTGGGTTTAACAGCAACACCGTGGAAAAAACTGCGCCCAAGCCCACTCGACACATCCTCCTATTGGGGACGTCACAGATACCAGTTAATGAACCCAGTCTCCTTCGGAAGGAGAGGTATTTCTTGGGAGGATGCCCCACTTTAATTTCAACTTTCCTTGATCGAAGTAAACTTAGGCGCTAGAGAAGTATAGAACACGTCGTATTTTCCATTGCGCCTAGGTTGCAACTGAATGTGGCACAAGGTCATTTTAAAGTGTGTTTAACAGCAATACCGTGGAAGAAATTGCTCAAGCTCTTTTATTAGGGACGCTTCAGGTGCCTGATAATGCTCCCAGCCATTTCCCAATTGAAAGGTACTGTCGGTGGGGATGAATGTGGGATTGTATTTAATATTGATTTCATTTTTACTTGATCGAAGCGAATTTCAAGATAAGCATACAGCTGTCAGTCTCTGGTCATCCATATTGTTGGAGTTGCACCCATACACTGTTGCCTCATTTACATAGATAAATACAAAATAAACTATCAAGTTATGGTAAATAAAATGAGGAACAAAAGCTATCGGTGATGTCAGATAACAGATTGTCCCAGTGACTTCTTGAATTTTTTTTGAGTTTACTGATATACAGCTGATCCTTAGAAAAATGAATATCAGGAACTATTTAAAATCTCTTCAGCTAATTAGATGTCAGCGATGGCACAAGAAGCTCCTTGTAAAGCTATTTTTCATAGGAAGGTTTTGCCAATCTGCTTATCTAATATACGAATATACATATTGTTTGTATCAACAGCAGCAGGAGCCATTACGAATGAACTACTGAACATATTTGTTTTAGGCATTTCACTTTATGCAAGGCAATAGAGCCACTAAGGCTCAAAGGGGGTTACTAAGTGTGAAAGAATATAAAAACATTATTAAGGAGAGAAAACGAGAAAAGAGCAGAAATTAAGAAGGAGAAAGAAGTTGGAAGAGAATTCCACAAGCGAGAAGTGCGAGAGAAGAAACTGTTAACATAGAACTTACGGTTACATCTAACTATTTCTATTGACGAACCACGTTTCTTAGTTCCACCAATTCTGATCTTCACAGTTAAGACCCACCACGCTACGTACAATGGGACGAATCATATTCAGTTGCTTAGAATTCCATGAGTAAGAACAGCTGAAATCTAAATAGGAAAATTCAGACTTTATAATTATTTCAAGAGAATTTTCTTTCTAAATTAAAATTACTTATCTGCATTTTTTTACAAAATAGTCTTACAAAATCAAACGAGAAGTGAAAATTTGCTTCTTCTTCAAAGAAATGAGATGAATAATAGCAAAAGTTTTTTTTTTTTTTTTTTACAATGTATGTCATGTCTTCTATTTTACTGTAAAATGTATTGATTGACGTTTTGCTATAAAAATGTATTGCTGGTCATTTTATCATAAAATGTACAATTGATAATTTTTATATAAATCGTATTGTTAGTCATTTTTCTATAAAATGTATTGCTGGTCATTTTGTTTAAATATACTGCTGGTCATTATAAAAATGTATTGTTGTTAAATCTACTATAAAAAATATATTGTTAGTGTTGAAACTTGACTAATGCATGGAATAATAATGCAACACAAAAGGTACTTAGAACAAAATGTATTGAAACAAGAAAGTGTACACAATATTTACATATAGTCTTTTGCATATTCCTGGTAAGACCGTTCCTGGAGAATGTATTGACTGAGTCGCAGTCGGGCAGAGTCTCGGGTTGAATCTCTTGATTCCTCCTCTCTTCCCGGTACCAACCATATTTATATGGTCGGTACTCCACTATGCAAATTAGGTGGATCCTACCACAACAGTTAGTCATTTTGCTATAAAAATGTACTGTTGGTAAATTTACTATAAAATGTATTCTTGGTATTTTTTATAAGAATGTATTGTTAGTATTTTTACTATATATATATATATATATATATATATATATATATATATATATATATATATATATATATATATTTTTTACTTTTTATTTTATTTTATTCTTTGTTTGTTTGGGAGTTCATTATTTGCCCATAGCTAGGACCCTAACAGGTGATACTACCCCGGGTCAGGGTGGACTTTGGATCAATAGGAATTAAAAGGTGGTTCCACGCTCCTCAAAACTTCCAATCTCCCGATCAGAGGCCTTGCTGCCAGATGCAATCTATCGTCATAACCAAGACTAAATTGTACATTTCTCTCTTCTTCTACTGTTAGTCCTTATATAAAAACAACATGTGTAAAATTCCTCCACGTGTCGAAATGTATTCCTTTTGAAAATGTGAAATCAATTTCTTCGGAAGTTTTCAACTTCAGCCATTACAAGCTGTAGTACATAACTAATCCTGACTAATTTGGCCTTCTTCTTCTTCTTCTTCTTCTGTATACCGTGTTTATTCAGGTTGTTATTGTTGATGATGATGATGTTCGTCTTCTTCTTCTTCTTCTTCTGTATACCGTGTTTATTCAGGTTGTTATTGTTGATGATGATGATGTTCGTCTTCTTCTTCTTCTTCTTCTTCTGTATACCGCGTTTATTCAGGTTGTTATTGTTGATGATGATGATGTTCGTCTTCTTCTTCTTCTTCTTCTTCTGTATACCGTGTTTATTCAGGTTGTTATTGTTGATGATGATGATGTTCGTCTTCTTCTTCTTCTTCTTCTGTATACCGTGTTTATTCAGGTTGTTATTGTTGATGATGATGATGTTCGTCTTCTTCTTCTTCTTCTTCTGTATACCGCGTTTATTCAGGTTGTTATTGTTGATGATGATGATGTTCGTCTTCTTCTTCTTCTTCTTCTTCTTCTTCTGTATACCGTGTTTATTCAGGTTGTTATTGTTGATGATGATGATGTTCGTCTTCTTCTTCTTCTTCTGTATCGTTTATTCAGGTTGTTATTGTTGATGATGATGATGTTCGTCTTCTTCTTCTTCTTCTTCTTCTTCTTCAGTGTGTTGTGTCTCTTCAGGACGTAGGTGATAATAGCTCTCTCCAATTTCCTGTCTTAGTAAATATTGTCTTTCTGTTACATCTCCTAAACCCTGTACTGCCAACCATTTACACATCGTTAGGTAGCTTATTCGTTTTTTTTCTTGTCTCCTATCTGTCCTGTGAGTGTCAAATTTTCCAAGCCCTCTTTCCTCATTATGTGCCGTAGAAATTCCAAATGTCTCTTTCTGAGATGTTATGTATAAGTTTCCTTTTCGTTTCCATTTTCTACAAAATGTTCGGTCCATGGTGTTCTCAGCATCCTCCTGTAGAACCACATTTCTATTGCTTCAAATCTCTTCTACATCTGTGAGGAGACTGTGCAGAATCCATTGTCATATAGGAGGATTGATATTACGTAACAGTTAAATACACCTTTCCTTGTTTCTGATGAAATATTCCTGTTTCTTAATACATTGATTAGCTTTTGAAAGGCATCTTTCACTATCCTTGCTTCTAGCTTTCCTATACAACCTTCTGTAAGAGTTCCTGTAGTTTCCTTTTTTCTGATATCAACACTGTACCATCTTAAGATTGTGATTGACAATCCTGGAAGGGTTTCTAATTCTCTCAGAATCGCCTCAAAGTATAGATTGAATAAATCCGGTGAGAAGACACATCTTTGTCTTACGCCCCTTTCTAGTTTTGTGTATTCATTTTCTATCTCTATGCAGGCGGTTTACTTCCAGCATGAGTTCTGGATTATTCTAATATCCTTCCTATAAATTTCCAGGTTATCTAGCAATTCCAACTGTTCTTTGCGACGTACTTTCTGAAATGTATTGAAAAAAGAAAACATCTAGTCGTAACTCTCTGGGAAATGCAACCGCCACTTCTACTCCAAAAGTTTCTTTTCCCGCCCTTCCCACATGTGAAACTTTCATTCCATTCCCTTGCTCCCCTGATAACTGTAGTCTTCGAAAATTTAAGTGCAACGTCAATCGCCATCTTCTGTTTTCTTTAACTGCTGTGGCCTGTTGAGAAGCCAGACGAAGGTAGGTTGGAAAAGTATATTGAAGATATATACAAAGCAATAGTGTTAGTAATAAGTAGATTAGCACTGCATCTACGATTCCAGTTTACACTGTAACCGACTCTCGCAGTTTGTATTTATGAGAGGAGGAAGAGTTCATTCTACTGTAGGAGGGTTTACCACAAAATTTAACCCTGTTCACTTTTATCATTTCCTCAATCTTGCCCACAAAAGTCTTTACATTCTCTCTCCGTTCTGGTGGCATTATTGCCTTGCAATATATATATATATATATATATATATATATATATATATATATATATATATATATATATATGTGTGTGTGTGTGTGTGTGTGTGAACAGTGTATATAAATATAAATAAATATATATATGTATAATTATTTATATATTATATGCGCGGTAATTATTTATCTTACTTATTATAAAACGAAGATTGTGTGTGTGTGTGTGTGTGTGTCTGTACGTTTATATATTGGATCGGATTTCCTACATTTTTCAACCGATTTCAACAAAACTTCACAGGACTACGTAAAATTACCTTGCGGTGGTTCTGACAGTGCCAAAAATTGGAGAATCACAATTGTTTTTGCACAAAATCAATTTTAAACACGATTCTGTCGCCAGAATGAAAGGGGGACAACTCATATCGAGTTATACTTATTATAAATCCCAGGTTGTGTGTGTGTGTTCATTTATATATGGGATCGGATTTCCTACATTTTTCAACCGATTTCAACAAAACTTCACTTTTTTTGGCAGGTAGTGTTTCTTATTGTCTTGCACACTTTTTACTTTATTTTTACATTCAGAATGCTTTAAAAATTCCATTTACAAGACAATTGTTTATAATAAAATTCTATTCAATCGATAGACTCATAGCGATTGAAAACAATGTTTTTGTTTGAGTTTGACCAATTCGTAAAAAAAAAAAAACTAATTATGAGATGCATGTCCGTCAACCTTAAACAATAATCTTTGTCAATTTTATTTTTCAGTCTTTATGATGGTCGATACTTGATCTATCTCTTACAGTTGCAACGCCGGGCTCTACTGCTAGTATATTATATGACGATCGCTAAAGCGTGAAACCCAGGGTCATAAACTCACATCTATCCAACCAAATATATATATATATATATATATATATATATATATATATATATATATATATATATAGTTATGAACATTATTTTAGTAAAAACATGTTAAACTAAAATAACTTTCATATTAATACTAGAAATCTCCACCCGTAGGAATCTCTTCAGTTTCTTTGCTTTGCTGATAACTACAATCATCAAAAATGTAAATGTAACATTGATTGCCATCTTCTGTCTTCTTGAATCCCGTTCGTTTTTTGTCCTTTACTCAATCCTCCCTATTCCCAGTCTTCTCTTCGACTTTCACTTCCTGTAAACTCCTACGTACAAGTGAATCGCCATCTTCTATCTTCTGAAATACCGTTATTCTTTTATCCTTTCCTCAATCCTCCCTATTCTCAGTCTCTTTCACCATTACTCCTTGTAAACCCCTGCGTACTAGTGGCATTACCGCTATGCTTGGGGGGAACCTATTTTAAAAATGGTCAGTGTATGAACACAAGTCTCTAACCAGTGGAGTTCCATCCAAGAATCTCTTAGAAATTAACCATATAAATCAGTCGGGCGAATGAAATGGCGGACATCCTGTCACGGAAGCTATTCTCACCAAATCAGGCAGCCAGTCCTACTTTGTTGCAAAACAGGCCTCGTCCGGTAAATATCAATTTACGTATTTATCTAGAAAGTAAATCATTGAATGTATTAAGTGTTTAACAGCGAGACCTGGCGAAAACAAACCCTCAGTAACAGTGCTACAAACCAAATACTTTCGAAAATAGACTTTACGGTTCCTCGTATTTTTCTTGTGATATTCAGGAAATCGAATAACTTGCAAGTTACAAAGTCAGACTTTGTCATTTTTATCACTGACACAAGAAAACCGCTTCGCTGTTCTTTGGGTCTCCTATTCACAGCGGATTTTATATCGTCTGCTAAGCTTGTAATGCTAACAACTAAAACGTTGATTTGGCAAAACAATACTTTATATGGTAAACACTTCAAGTAGGATTTTTTATATGTTCTGCCGGTGACACTGTGGGTGAGCATCTTTTTAAATCATAAGCGTTTGAATGATCCACGGTAGAAAGAACTGTTCACTTTGCTTCATAGCAAGAGTTTTTTCTTTAAGGTAAGATATTTCAGAAATGTCTAGAAATCGTACTCTAAAAAAATGTGATCTTTCCTTAGTATGAAGATAAACTACATCCAGCAGCAATGCTGCTGATCGGGAGATTGGAAAGCTTAAGAAGCGAGGAACTATCTCTTAATAGCTGTTGCTCCCAGGTCCACCCTGACCCTACGTGGTAACACCTGTTAGGGTCCCAACTATGGGCAAATTATTAACCTTCAAGCTGGGTTCAAAAACTTATAAAAGTATGAAAATACATTTGTATAGTAAAAAAAATACCTGCAGTATATTTTTATAGTAAAAAAAAATTACCAGCAATACATTTTTTAAAAAAAAATTAATAATACTCCCAAGAAAATTAAATTTCGTCGATAAATGACCCATGAGGAGTTGATATGCCATTAAACAAACAAACAACAATATTAAAAGCAATTATTAGAATTTAAATGAAATATGAAAGCGGATTTTTACATTTCTTTATTCTTGAGAATTGACAACAAAGATATTAACAGGTAGCAACAGCTATTGAGGAAATGTGATTAAATATACTTTAATGTTTAAAAAAAAAGTTTCTGGTTCAGTAAGAAAAGCAAACATGGCTTATTAACTGATAGGAGTTATCTCCCTTTGCATGTATAGCCCAATAAGAATGATCACTTCTCTTGGACTGATCGCAACAGCTATTAGGGAGATGTGATTTAATATACTTTAATGGTTAAAAAAATTATTCAGTATTATTATTGTTTAGATAACAAGCATTATAACATAGCACAAATAGTAATATTGTTGAAACAGAAAGTTTAGACAATGGACACATTTCTTTACGTATTTATGTTTGTTCTTTTTTTAACTTTTATTAAAAACGACATTCTTGTACATGTAATTATGGATAATATTATACATTAATTACTATTTTTTTTAAATTATAACTATTTGTGCTCAGTTCTTGATATTAATAGCTTATCTGCTGATGTGTTAAAAGTTTGGAATAATGCAATAATAAAAATTTAAATTTCATCTCTCTGATAAATGTCGTGATCTGTAGACACTATTTACTAGATTGCATGTTTGCAAGAATAATTTTATATTAAAAGATGTGAATCAACTATATTGAAATATTTATTATTTACCCTTTTATCAAGAAATAAATATTAAAAGAAGATCTTTTTTATTCATAAAGTTATAAATACGTTTGCAAACAAGGAAATTTAAATAAACCAACAATGACAAGCAACGTTAATCATAAATTTGAGAAAAAAAAATGCATTTTCCCGGCATTTCTTTCATATGATCACTGCACATAAATTCACTAGAATAGGTTGAAACGATCTCTTTCTCTTCAATATTTTCATAATTATTTTTATGAATTTTTGAATAAAAATATCTTTTTCAATTTTACCCCTTTATAAAATGGTAAATAAATCTTGTAACAGCAAAATGAAGGCAAGGATTATGGCAGCATTCACCAAAAAGTTTGCAGGAGATTCCAAAGCCGTCTGAAGGCTGCGGTTGAAATGTCGATTTCACACATACACATGCACACACACACACACACACACATATATATCTTACTTATTATAAAAGGCAGTTTGTGTGTGTGTGTCTGTACGTTTATATATTGGATCGGATTTCCTACATTTTTCAACCGATTTCAACAAAACTTCACAGGACTACGTAAAATTACCTTGCGGTGGTTCTGACAGTGCCAAAAATTGGAAAAACACAATTGTTTTTGCATAAAATCAATTTGAAAACACGATTAAAA